GGGGGTGGGGAGAAGGGGGTTCCTGCACACAGAGACTTGCAGTGGTGTTGGAATTAGCATGCTGACCTTAAACGTTCAAACACCGCAGACTCTTTCTGGAGCAGCCGGAAAAAAAAAAAAAAAAACGGAAAAAAAAAAAAAAGCAGGGATGACCTCATCTGAGTTGGAGGCGTAGCTGAGGCTCTCTGCCAGCTCACAGCCAACCAGATCTGAATGAAAATTGCAGGGAGCCCATTACATCATCAAAGCCCAGCATGCCCCAGCCCTTCCCGATACTGTCTTCAGCCACATGGGAACCATCCCGTCCGGGAGAAGGGCTCACTTCCCTTTGTCAGGATCAGAAGGACAAGACCATAGAGCTGCAGCCTTGTAAATGACTTGTTACATAGCATGCAGGAGGATTTGTGGTGAAGGCAGGCAGCATGGAAAGAAAGTGAGTCCACGTCCTACATGGCTAAGTGCCAGCCCGACAGAGTGAGGCATTAAACTTTTCCTCCAGCCAGTGCCAAAGGAAAACCAGAACTGCTTTGCCCTAACAGTATGCATTTGCATTTTGAAAGAGCAAAGCCACGGCTCAGCCCTGGGCATGATGGCACACAATGTGGCAGGGACTCCAGCACAGTAATTTAGTCTGGGCTAGTCATTCCATGGGTGGGCTAGGCAATTCTATACATGTGGCACAGGGGCTGGGCCAGCACCCCAACCGCCCCCCCAACCCTCCAACCCACCAACACTCTGTTAGGTGCCATCAACCATCTGGCTCAGCAGCCTGGGCCTGCAGAAGCAGTTTGTACAGGGGGAGAAAGGTGTCTCCTCCTCCTCCTCACCATCTCAGAGTCCAGATACCTCTCAGAGGACAGACTGAGCCCCCGTCATCATTTTAAAGACTCCCTCTGCAAGGGGCTAAGCACCATCATTCATGCCTTAACTTTTAAAACAAACCTCCTACTGAATCCCACAAGATTCCTGCTAAACCGTCAAAGATACCCTGAGATTGTCACTTTTGGGTATGTGTCCTGCTCTGGTGATGGTGATGTTTTAAGTAGACTTGAAAGGAGATGAAATAGCTGATATTAGACTGACTGATGTAATTGGAAAAGAAAAGCAGCACACAAGCTCTTCCCACACTTGTCCACATGCTTACTTGCTAAATTAACTCCAATGTCTGCTGTGCCCAGAGTTCACTAAAATAAATTAAGAGATTTAAACCAGATCCACATTCCAGGGACAGACATCTATAAATACCTAGAATTTGGGAAAGGTGACAGGCAGCCACAAGCTTAGATGTTTTGTCTTGTAAAAATTTCTAAAATAATGATGGGGGGGGGGGGGGGGGGTATAAATAAGA